AATATTGCTCACTTATCAAAGTCGGCATCTAATTCGTGGCAAGTCTGCGTATGGAAATGAAAATATGAATTTTAATTTTATAAAGAATCCCATTGAGTTTCAATTTCATGTATGTATGTATGTATGTAAAAATTCCGCTTGCATACCTTTTGATTACCGATATCATAAAAGTCCTTCGCTGATAAAAAATAGGTTAGCATTGTAAATGCTCGCTCCAATGAGTTGACTTGTTGCATTTTGCTAATACATATAAACATAAATGCAAGGTACATAAAATGCAAGCAATGTTGCCTACTTGCTGTTGCGTTTTACACTGACTGCCGCTCGTAAACGTTTCTTGTTTGACTTGTGTATGTAGAATAGTAACCCTGCAGGAAATGTAACTAACTTTAAGTTGATTAGGAAGGTGCTAAAAGTCACTATTATCTGTATATTTTCTTTGACGAAAGCTAACTATATTTCTATGGCGACGGCCGCGAAATAGTGAGGGGTGGTTACCTCTGCATTAGATGTAGTCAAGGGTGGTTACGTCTGCATTTGATGTAACTAACTTCTTTTGGACATAAAATATCAATAGGAAAAATACATTTTTTATTTTTTATTTTATTTTTTATATTTTTTTTTATTACATTTCATATTTGTTTACATATTTGCTGTAGGTGGTCCCATATTCGAACTCCGTCAGACATAACTTCAAAATTATAATATGAAATTTCGATCGTCCTTTTATTTGTCCTCAATTCGAAAAAGTATTTGCGAAGTGCAGGACATTTAAATAGAAACGCGATCAAAGAAAACAATATCCTGCATTACTTGTCAACTAGTTTCAAGTTAGCGTTTACAAGTGGATTATTTTTATCAATTGATAATTTTTTCTGCAGGGAACTATAAACATGCATACATATGTATGAACTTCCAAGCAAAATAATCTGATTTAAAGCTATCAGCGCCGTGCGAAATTAAATAAGAAAATAGAAACAGAATAAATCTTACTAATCTATTCGAGGAAACTTGATTATGAGTGGCATAAATGCTTCAAAATAACTACATATGTATATATGTATAAAAAAAAAATGGTATTCCTAAAGCTAAATAATCGATCTACTGAAAGGTAACTATGGAAACTCTCCCGCTGTTCTGCATTTGACATTATTATTTTTGGAGATGAAACACTGCTTTCGTTAGATCTATTGTGCCCCGCTCACGGAGTTCTTGAGTGTCTATTAACTCGGTTTCTGAGAGAAACTTTATTATTGAGCCTAAATCTCTGGATTTCACTATGCGCTGGTTATCAAATCTTCACTTCGTTGTCTTTTGTGCTTGTGCATCAGTACACGACACCTTTTCAAGATCTGGTGCGCAGTTTTGCTATCCATCGTGCAAAATATGCATCGCTCCTTCAAATAAATTCCCATTATTCAGATGGCAGCTCAGCATGCAGTGTCCTTCCAGAATTCCTATAATAATTCTTATTTTATACTTTGAAGAGCTCATATATTACTTAAACGTTTTAGGTTGTATGTTTCTAAAAGTGTTTAAAAATGCTCTAGACCTGGTAGATTGTCCCAGCAGCGATCTCTTTGAGCCTCTTCCTCCAAACGGGCCAGAGCAGAGAGTGCCTCTTTTTCTATGCCACAGAAGTGGTCTGGGCCAATGAAATTGGCTATGATCCAACTCGATCGGTCAAACTAAGTATGCAGCTTGTCAAGGCTCTCTATCACCAGTTTATTTGTTATCTGATGAGACTGAGGGCCTTATTGGATACTTGTCCGTCAGTCAAGATGAGAACGTTCTGATTCGTATGCCTATGTTTCAGCCTGGAAAATAGGCATATGTGTTCCCATAAGCTCTGAGTATCCCAACCTCGGTCTATCTACACCTATCCCGCTAGCCTCTTCAGTCAATGAGCCATCAGTCATCATGGTTTGGTTTATCTGATATGTCCCGGATATGCTTGCCCAGCTCTTTTTATTACTGAGATCAGTTTAAAACCTCTTTATAAAGTTGAACTTCAGGTGCACAGTATCCCTCGGTATTGCAGTTGCAGGTTACTTCTTCATCAGAATATCGATCTACTTACGACTAAGAAACCCTTCTGCCCGCTATTGGTACCAATCATCTTTAGTAGTTTTCGCCTGAGTTTGTATATGAATATGAAATCCTTTATTATGACAAACTTTCATATTTGATTTTATTACTGAGATGAAAAACACTGAAAATAATTTTGATCGGTTTTGCTGTGCAAATACTCCTCTGTGTTCATAAATGTTCTTCACAAGTACTTACCACAGATAAGGCATGTATGTATGTATATCAGTGTGCATCTGCTTTAGCTTCAATTACATTAATTTGTATACTCATTCATCTCTTCTGAACCTTCATCTAATTATTTATTAAACTAACGAAATGCCAGTTACTGCTGCCGGCCGCTTTTCTAGTTTTCAAAGACTCCAAAGATTTTCTCATCTTCGGTTTAGTCGCTGCCTTCATATACCTATTCGTCTTCGTACTAGTGTTCGCACTCACTTTTCACTTTCACCTATTCATATTTGTCACCGTATTTGTTCCCGTATCGAATTCATCTAGATATACGTATTCGTATTTGCCTTCGCATTCGTATTTCTTTTCCTACTCGTCTTTGCATTTTTGCGCGTATTCGTATTCGCTTCCTACTCATGTCCGTATCCTTCTTTGTATTCCCGTTCGTCTTAGTAGTCGTTTTGGTATTTGTATTTCGTTGTCAGAGCTGAAGATCAACCTACACAACGCGCCCTATTTCAGAATTTGATTGAAAAACGCCCTATCTCAGTACATTTTCAATGTATATTCGTTTGAGATAGGGCATTTTTGAAACGAATTCTGAGGTAGGACGTTCTTCAAATAAATTCTGAAATAGGGCGTTGTTGAAAAGTTTTCTGAGATAGGGCGTTTTCAAACTGGCTGCCGAGATAGGTCGATCTTCAACTCAGCCATCAATTTGTCTTTTCCTTTGTCTTCGTGTTCAAAAACAAAACTACGAAGCAAATGAAAGTGCGAAAATAACACCGTTAGGAACATCAAATACAGCTCAAATTGAAAAGTTTGCATCAAAAACTAGGTACTTACGAATACGAAAATTTTGACAAGGCGATTCTATCCGTCATTTTCAATCAATTTTTTAATCGTAAAACTCATGTAATCTAAAGCAAAATACTTTTCCAAAGGTGTTTATGGTGTCTTTTTTGACCATGAAGACTGAAACACAATCCCAACATCCTCTTTACTGTTCAAACTAGCTCAGAACCTTTATTTTTCAACCGATTTGACTTTTTTTAAGGAAAGCTAATAAAATTTAGAAGAGATTTTGTCCAGCCCGATTTTTGAACTTAAATTTTAAATTTTTATTGCAAAGTTCATACATTGAAAAGCAGTAAAAGCGACAGCAAGAACGAAGCGCAACATATTTGAGATCGCGCTATGGCTGAACTGTTTGAAATTTCGCAGCCAAAGCGACAATACTGTTCACGCTTTTGCGTAAAACAAAGCGCTGATTTTTGCCGTTCGCAACTTCGTATCAAAGAGTGAACTCTAGTATTGTATTGTATTGTAAATAAATGGTACATAATAAAAGCTAGTATAATTAACTTGGATTCATCCAAAATGAAAAAAATTGCAAAAGTAAAAGTTTAACCTTATAAAACAATTTCACCAAAATTTAAAATTTTTTACAGATTTTGTAGCCCATTAAATTTTACTGCAAGCCCCAAGTGGCCAAGACTCGCATTTTTTGGCATTTCGAACACACTTTAGGCAGATGGAAGGAAATGCCAAAGTTTCAAACTTTGTGCAATAAAAAAAAAACTTGTAAAAATAAAAAAATCAACAGTATTTTAGAAGAATTTCAGCGCCACCTAGCGAAGAATTTTTCATACGAACCTTATTCTTATGACCGCAAATAAACCCAAAAAAAAGAATAAGCCAAATCGGCCAAGCCATATATATGTATGTATGTACATATGTACATTAGAATGCCTCACCTGCGGTTGCCAGACATTATGATTTTATCAGTACAGTACTGATTTTTCAACTATTGTACTGATTTTATTCATTTCTTCAATCAGTACGCTAATGTCCTGATTTTTCAAAATTTGTACTGATTTGTACTGAATTTTTAATTCAAACAAAATACTTGAGGATTTTCTTAAGGTTTTTATATAACGTTGGAACTTCCTGAAACTGTACTGTAAAAAGTTAGAAGAAAATAATTTAATTATAATTGACGTGTTTCAGATAATATTTGATATACCCAAGAAATTAATAAAATAAAAAGATCAATCGTTTTACGGGTATATCGCCGGGTCGCTACGTACCAATTGCGATAATAAGCTTAAATTATACAAAAAGAAGGCTAACGATTTTTTGTCGTGTGTTGTTAGTTATCTCGAAGATAACTTTCAGTTTAATAACAACAAAATTTGCCTATAACTTACAATTATTTTTTCACTTACTTTACGGACATTGTTAAAGAGTTGTGCATGCGAGACATAGAGTTAGATACATTTTTTAGCGAATTCTTAGTCTTTCAAAGTTTTTGCGTAGTTGAAAAAAATAATTTAAGCCATGAGGAAATATAGATGAAATCCTTAAATAGTGGTACTTTTCCACAGTTTGAAAAAAATATGTAATTTAGTTTTTTTCAATACATACCCCACTCAAACGAAGCAACTGAGAGGATCTTAAGTATATAGTTTTCTTCCTGGCGAAAAGAAAGAAATCGGCTTCTAGCCTCACCAAAAAAGTTGCAGTTTTTCCTACGGGATTATAAAATTTGTTATATTTGGAGACTTTCGCAAAACATTTCGAGAAAATTTTAGGATTTACGTGAGCAGGACTAATCTCGTTATTTTGATTTTGTTGATAAAATGTGTAAACATTTTTATAAAATAATGGATTTTTTGAGACATTTTAAAATCGGCCCAGCTCACGTAAATCCTAATGTACATCAAACTTCGAAACTTTTTATACATTATACATGTATGTAACATGCATACATTTGTATGAATAAATTAAATCAGTAAGTATCGTCAAATAAGAGTATGTAAATATGAAAGTACTATATTTATGAAGAAGCAAAACTTAGGTACATATATATCTATGTGGCTTTACCACATTTCGCCTTATGTTGTTTTCTTCAGTTGTGGCACCACATCTAATGTGGTTCTTCTCAAATATACTGTTACTGTAAAATAAGCCGATTTCAAAGCCAACATCGAATTCACGGCATTCGCATGCCTTGATACGGGTTCAAATATACGAAATCCATTGGTTTTATGTTGACCCAGCATTTTTACCATATTATCAGCACCAAATGTAACAGCTTCAAAATGATCATACAAATTTTGCTCGCCACTTTTCTGAAAAACGAACAGCAACTCGCACAGATAACTTTCAGTTATGGCACGTAATTTTTCAAAACCAATAAAATACTCTCCTTGTGGGTCACCAACACTATTTTCAATTGATTGCGTTGTGGTATTGTACAGCAATTTGCTCTCAACATCGCGCTGAGCGATCAATAACCAATTGTCACCGTATTCATTGCTTACGCATCGCACCGGGAAGGCAGTTGGCAAATTGGGCAGCTTTATAATGACTTCTCCGACTTGTTGATTGTCACAACTGAGAGCGTAGTTACCGCTGAATTTTTTAATTATTTAGTCATAAGAATATGTTAAATTTTTTATAATGAATATATATATTTCATACATACCCAAAGTACTTTGCGTTTGTTTTTAGATCATCCATAATGTTTTTTATTCTACGATTTATTGCCAACTGATTGTCCAGCACTGCGCTTAAGCTATATTCAAAGTGGTAATATTACAAAGTGCTAAATTTTTTTTATACTTATTTTATATTATATGTACATACACGCTGCTTAGATTGCTCATTTCCGGTATATTGCAAGTTTGCTCTACTACCTATTGAAAAATTAAAAGTTGAGAAATGAACCAGCCTTTTAGGGGTAGGTTTTAAAGGCATCTGCTCTTTAAAGGCCAGTTAAACTTTAAAACCGACTTTAGAAAAGGGTCCTAGTCATTATTCGCTTTAAATTTTATAATACTCTACACATATGTATGTATGTATGTAAGTATGTAAGTATGTATACGCACATCAACAACGCCAGTACGCATAAATGGATTTATATCTACATCTTGTGAGTTTATTTGTAGATAATTTTCAGGTGATGTTAATAAAACGCTCATTGCCATTAGGAATTTATCAATTGGTATTTGTTGCATTTTTTAAAAAACTAAAGAAACCTTCACAGACGAAAACCAAATAGAGAACTAAGCATTTGATTTATACTCGTCAAATGCACCAAACTGACTGAGTCGTATATGCAGATAATGCAAGCGATTCTCGAGCTAAATATAACATTAAACTATTTAATCGCTACTGAGAAATATTGTTAATCTATGTATATATATATATATAAATATGTATGTATGACCTATATATTATTTCCTCACTTTGCAAAGCATTATTGAGTTTATAGACATCCTTAATCTTCGCGGCAAGAATAACTCGTTCACTGAGCCAATCGTGATTCCAATAATCAACTTGAATATTAAGCAGCATTCTTTCGATCAGCTCTCCTTTCGATGTTACAAAGTTACAAAAGTTATGAGGCAATGAAATTCGTCCTGATCTCCCATCGACTCCCAATAGCCAGTAATTGTCGCGAGAATACCTCGGCTGATAGATCCTTCTATAACTGGACACAAATATTCGTAGTCAAAATTTTCTAATAAATATCGTGCCCTAACCTTTCCTTTTAATTCAGAAATATTCCTAGAGCATTTAGATGTATTTCTGCATCAGAAATAAAATTTTGAAAAAAATGTCGCTTACGTCTTTTGGGTGGTTAGGTTTCGATATGTTTCTAATATTCTACCCGCGTTTGTGACTGAATATTAAATTGCGTATTTGCGTTCAAATATAGATCCCAGTATATCTTATACATATGTACATGTATATATACTGGGCATATCCATAGTCAAAATAAAGTCTATGCTGTGCTCTCCTTTATATTGCTCCATATGTAAAGATGTATGAATTTTTTTTACTCTGCGCTTTTCGCTGAAGTGTAATCCTTTTTTCACATTTTCGTTGATTTTTTTTTTTGTGTGCGTGCGTTTTTCTCATTTTGGTTTTAGCAGCAGGCAGACATTATACGAGTAGTTTAATATCACTTAAGTCACGGTTAGCGCTTAGTGTTGTTTGTGTCACACTTTTCAAAATGAAATCCTCAGTCGGCGCCATTCTTGTCGACACCTGCTTGTCGAACAAGTGAACAACGGCGCCGGTACTAGCACTGCATTAAATTATGTAAATATATTAATATACCTGTATGAGTTTAATATCGACTTCATAACAAGCTGTGTGTACACTGGCGGTCAAAAGTGGATGAATGGTGCTTCTTTTAATTCTTACAATGTTTTTAAAGTAACATTTTTTTGTGTTATTTTTTATTAAAAGTTGGTTCATGATTTAATCAAGCCCATTAAACAGAATTATACAGAATTTAGAAAAAAATCACAAAATTTTCATCAAAATTTGCATTTTTTAAATCTGAATTTAAAAAAAATCTTTGGTACGCAGTTACAAGGCTTACGAAATTTTTAATAAAATCAGTGCAAGTTTTGAACGGCTAAGTATCGCATTGATTTTTATTATTAGTTTTTTTTTTTTACTGCGGCTTTTTTCATATAACAAGTGCAATTTATAACAACTGGCGTTGATTTTTCTGTAATTTTTTCGCAAACGGTCTTGCGGTTTCCGATTTCTGTAGTAAAAACATGTGTTTCCAATTTAAGCAAATAGTTTCCAGGTCAGTTTAACCCACTTCCGTTCGAAATCGGAACTCGGTAATACCACCAAAAGGTAAAGCATCCCCGATTCGGCAGGTCACTTCTTTGCGTTATTAAATAAAAAAATGGGCGGGTGGTCTAAGGCACCCTGTATAGTTAGGAACTTGCTAAATTTCCCAGCCGGAAAGTAGCTCCCCACGACACCGATCTAAAAAACCCATAGACGAACGTATTTAGATTGGTGCTCTTCGCATTACACTGTGGCAGCGATATTTCGACCACTAAATTTCAAAAATTTAATGACAAGTTTTTATAAAGAAATATTTTAGTAAACCCAATCCATAATTTCTTTTCCTAAAAAGTAGTTAGTATGTTGCAGTACCCCAGGATTTAGTCAGAAATGAACTATATTTTTATAAAAAATTATCGAAAATAAATTACATAGAATTAAAAACTTTGCATATACATAATGCGAAAAGTGCACTGTGCCAATACTTTTTTTCCTCACGTTTTTGAGGACAGTATTATAAGTGCCCAGAGGTACTAAAGTTTATTTGATTTGAGTGAAGCCTCTTCTTAAACATATTATTTTGCATAAAAATATTTCGCTTTAATGAATTAATTAGCTCAGTTTTAGGATATGGTTGTTCCTACAATATTTCTTTTATAAATACGAGTATGTATGCACGTATGTAGCTCCAGAGATTTGCAAACATACTTTTCAAAAGCTTATACTCAAAGCAGAGTTCATGAAAATACAAGTAAGTTTATATGAGAGTCAAGGTAATTTATTGTTGACAATTTTTCACATTATATGAACATTAGGGAGCATAATTCTCCATACAAAAAATCGGCAAAAAAAAATATTATAGTTTAAGACTTCCGCAAAAATATTTCGGAAAAAGACCAAGCTTTTTTATACCCGAGCGCACTTGTGCACAAGGGTATTATAACTTTGTTCACATAACGGTTGTTTGTAACAGGCAAAACGAATCGAGATAGATATAGACAAATGTATACATAAATGATCAGAATGAAAAGAGAAATCGATTAAGCGGTGACTGTCTGTCCGTCCGTCCGTCCGTCCGTCCGTCTGTGCACACGATAACTCGAGTAAAAATTAAGATATCTTAATAGGACGGATGGTATTGAAAATGTGTGAAATCGGACAATAACCACGCCTACCTCCCATATAACGGTAATTTTCAGAAATACGAAAACTGCGATATTTTAGTAACTACTGAAGATNGTTAAAAAAAAAAACCAAAACCTCACTTCAGACGATAGAATAGTTTAAGATTAACAGGTCTGCATAAACATATTTAAAAATGGTATCAACCGTATCAAAATAATGCTATTTTTAAAGGTATTTTCAAAATGGTATAGCTCACGTAAATCTTAATATTTTTTGGAAATATTTTGGTAGCAGGCTTAGAATATAATTGGTTCTATAATTCTGGTGGAAAGATCGCACATGCATATAAGTATGTATGCAAAAATATGTCTGCTCACATTACGTAGTAGTTCACAATGCCTCTGTAAGAAATGCATGTACAGTATACATACATACCTCTGTACATGTCTGCACCTGCATATTCTATCGATTATGTGCATACGTACACTCCTATGTAATTTCGACTATTCACTTTAGTCTATTCCCTAAATAAGGATATCCCCTTGTAAAAACAGGAAAAAGTAAAATGAACTTAAGCTTTCCAGCGCCAATACAAACACCATTTTACGGCTGAGAGCCGTGAAAACCATTCCAATAACAAAAGCTGACCTTACAACTACAACAAACACAAAGAGTCACCAACAAACAACACCGTCATTCACAGTCTGGAGCTCAACGTCGGTAATTTATAGCCATTCCCTTAGCGTTCATACGCCTGATTTATTGCTGTTATTGAAAAATTTTCTAGTAATTTTATTTCACCTCTCACTTGCTAGTATTATTTCTTTTTTTTTTTTGTTCGCATTTTATGTTGTTGCACTGTTGGGACACCGGTACCACTTCAGTATGTGTGTGTGCTGCAAGTGGCAGTCAGCGATGTCAATGGGGATGACAGTGTCGGCATCTATGACAGTGACGGCATGTATTTAATATTAAAATGCATTTGACCCGTGACACTGGTCGGTAATGCATATAGTATATACATATGTATGTATATATTTACAGTAGAATCCGTTTATAACGTCTCCGCATATAACGACCGACCGCTTTAAGCGACGTAATTTGTCAATAAATTGTCCGGTTGGAGCGTCGAAAAATTCACAGAAAATTAGAAGCTTCGCACAAGTGATTACTGATGAGTAACTACGTGCGCAAAAATGTCACACAGCAGAATTATAATATTAAGAAAAAAAATCAAAATAGCAGTCACCGGTCCCTTGGAAGTCGTTATAAACGGATTCTACTGTACGTTGCAGCGGAAAGAGAATGTAAAGTCGTACTGGATTGCGACACTGTGTTGAGTTTAAGCGAGAGTAATTGTCGGCTTTTAGTGACAATATAGACATAAATTTGTAACAATATATTTTTGTTTATTACAGAGGGAAGTTAAGTTAAATTTAGAGGCCAATTATTTCCTAAAAAATATTAACCCTGAAACTCCTTCCAATACGAATGTTTTGGTCTTAGTATGAAGAATTTTATAAAATATAGTACTAAGAGTGTTAAATCCTCTTCCAAAATATTGGCACAGAGAATATTGTTTTGGCAAAACTACCTCGAAAGGCGTCATAAAGTCATTTCCCGCGGTGAACGACTGCACTCGACGATGAATTCTCGCTCCCACCCCAAATCCAACTCGGAAAAAACAGTCTCTAATTGTGCGGTGTGTGTGGATACACTTACATACATAACTCTTGGTGCATCTTATTGCTGGGACCGCTTCTCAAGATCTCGTCCACGACAGCTCTCGGATTTGAATAACTTTCAGGCCAACTCCTAGGTAGACTAAAGCTTTTTAATAGCAGCCTTGTATAGCCATTAACCATTCAACGTCTGTGCAGTGTGAAGTTTGTGCCATGCGAGAAGTCCTACTTCTTTATTTATTACTTTTGTTTATGACGCCTATGACTGTCCGATTTTTTGCTTTCTTAGCTTTCTGACCTGCGACTTACCATATGATTCGATCACGACTGTGATCCGCTGTATCCGAACATAGGACCAAACTAGTAATAAAGCTAGTACGAGTGTTCTATTTCAGGAAATAAACAGAATTACATTGTGAATTATTTGTTGTTATTTACTATAAAAATCTAGCTAAGCCTTCTATTTATGTAAAGGCACTCACAGATACGGAGACATATTAGAGCCACAAGGACAAAAGGATGCACGCCAACGCTTGGCTGACATTCTTGTCAGTGCACATTACAGGCCATCGCGCAATAGCCAAATCATGAAATGTAAGAGCGCATATTATATGTACCTTTATATACATACACGCTAAGCTAACAGTTCATATATGTATATAGTATATGTTTGTGTTTTTGA